GTGGGAGAGGGTCACCCCAGTGGAGTCAGGTGTGGGAGAGGGTCACCCCAGTGGAGTCAGGGGTGGGAGAGGGTCACCCCAGCAGTCAGGGGTGAGAGAGGGTCACCCCAGGTATTCAGAAGTCGAGGCAAGAGCATCACTTGAGTCCAGGAGTCTGAAGCTGGTAATCTTGGGAAAACAAACAACAACCCCTCTTTGTATTGTTGGAGATGGAGCACTCAACAATCATGCAGACTCCAGCTGGCACTGGAAGGGGCAACCTAGTGCACGCAGGAAACTAGTATAAGCAGTAAGTAAAACCAATCGGCTAGAAATGCATGTGGTATTGAATTAGATCAGGAGACGCATGGTCTGTGTGCTGGGGATATGTGTTGCTGTGACTGATTGATAAATAAAGCTGCATTGGCCTATGGCAGGGCAAGATGGAGCCAGGCGGGAAAATCCTGATAGTGAGAGGAGAAAGGGGAGGAAGGAGACACCAGCTGCCGCCAGGAGAAGAAGATGTGAAAATACGGGTAAGCCATGGCCACGTGGCAATTAGATTAATAGAAGTGGGTTAAGTTATAAGAGCTAGTTAGCAAGAAGCCCGAGCCATTAGGCCATACAGTTTGTAAATAATATAAGCCTCTGTGTGTTTGCTTGTCCGAGCAGCTGCGGGATGGGCGGGACACAGGAAAACTTTGGACTACAGGCTGAGACACATAGATCTATAGCTAACTGGTAGAGTGTTCCTCTAGCAAATCAGGGCCTGGGTTTAATTCCCAGTACTTATAAACACACGAAATAAAGCTAGGCTTGGTGGCCCATGCCTATAATTCCAGCACCTGGAGACTGGGTCAGGACTGGGGGCTCCCTGCCAGCCTGGGGTACACAGTAGGAACCTGCTTCAAAATACCGGAAGCTCAGTGAGTTGACACATGACAATACATAAACCGTCCAGTGCTCGGAACACCATGAAGAGTCAGAGAAACAAGTGAGGCCCCGCACAGGAAAAGACACACTCCAGGGAAAGTGACCGAAGGAGGCCTCAGCACCGGACAAAAAGGCAATGACTGAAATGCCAAGGACTAAAGGAGACCATGTCTGAGCGACTGAAGGCAAACAGAGACTACATCTCGCTAGCAACCACTGAGGAAGAAACATAGAGCCTACAGAGAAACCCCCCGAGCTGAGGAGCATGGTGAATGAAACGGAAAACTCAGTGAACTCGACAGCAGAGCACAGACAGTGGTCGGCACACTCCAGAGACAGGCAGGCTGCTTGAGATTATTATTTCTTCCTAAGGGACTGAAGCAATGAAAACTGGTTCTGAATCTGGCCATAAACCAGCACACAAGCACACAACTTATTTGCCCCCAAATAAGCATCTGCACGACCCTTCGTTTGGATGTGAGGTGTGGGAGGTGGTAGGAGAGACTAGAAAGGAGATGTGCTCTGCAGATGGTGTTGCTTGGCAACACCTCACAATACGACTGCTGGATCATACATATTTAGTACAACACACAAGAATCCAACATTAGTTCTGAGACCAATAAGAAGCCTACTATGAAGGTGCCCGATTACAGTACTTTGTATGCTAACTTAAGAAGGAAATAAAACACATATGACTGAAAAAGAAGGAGAAGGAGGAGGGAAGGGAGGAAGGGAGGGAGAGGGGGAGTAGGAGTGGGAGAGAGAGAAGGGAAGAAAGAGGCCCAAACTACTATTCATAGTTAGGCCTGACCAAGATGAGCACACTGAAAGGTGGGGCGGGTGGCTGGGCCGCCTGCGGTGACGGAGACACAGGGTGGACAGCCGTGTTACACGCTTCTCCAGGCTCTGGCTGGCCCACTTCCTTGGCCCCTGTGTTAGAGGACATAGCTTGGCTTCAGGCAGCTTCTCAGCATCTCTCTACATCTCTCAAGGTTTAGAAACTTCCTTTCCCCTTCAGTGGGGAAATTCACCCCACAACCTTGCATATGCTGAGCCAGCCTGCTCCTGCTGGGCCTCACCCTCAGCTCTGGGTCAACAAAATGTGACGTTCTCAATCCCCAGACCTCAGTTTCTCGCTTTTCGATTATTCCTAACGAATAAATCGGATCCCTTTAGAACGTTGTTCTCTTGGGACAGAATCCACACGTCCAGTCACGTGCCTATGAAATGCTGACTGCTCCCTACCACAGGGCAGTGACCAGACTCCACGGTAGAGTGTGTGGCACACACAAGGCAGCAAAGCTGGAGCCTAACCACGCATTACTAACTAGCTCTAATCTTCATGCACTGTGGAAGGACCACGTCAGTCTCCTTTAGCTCCGTGATTTTATGTGTCACTCTCCAGGAGACCTGTGATGCACCTGAACCCGCATGGTGTGCAATGCACATGACCAATGCTGGCCAGAGTCAACATGACCACAAGTTGTTTCAACTGGTGTTGGAAACAAACACGTGTATTTCTGCTGCCTTCTGAGTCTGCAGACATGAGTTATTTACTTATCATGTGTGTGAGTGCATGTATCATATGTGGGTGCCCATGAGGAGGTCAGAGGACAACCTGCAGGGGTCAGTTCTCTCCTTCCACCCTGTGGGTTCCAGGGATCAGACTCAGGTCGTCAGGCTGAATGGTAAGTGCCTCTAATCAATGAACATGGCACCAGCTCAGGTTTATATATTTTATTTCAGAGGTCAAGTCTTACTAAAATCAAATTGTAAAACTCACCAACTAGTCATACAAATAAACTACTTAACATTTTAAACAAATGTTTATTAGAACAAAGATCACCCCGAACTATTTATTTTTCTAACTCATACTTCTTATTCAGCCAGGCTTCTCAACACAGAAACAGCCAGCTCGTTTCCACCCCTTCCCTGACAGAAGGACGGCGCTCACTGTCTGTGAGCTGCTGTTCTGTGGTGTAGTGGGCCTTCACCACTCTGTCTGTCTGTTCTGTTCCAAACAAGTGCTCACTGTCTGGACCAGGCTGGCCTGGATCTCAGAGATCTGCCCACCGAAAGCGTGTGCAACCTCAAACGGCTTCAGCACTCTTAGTTAGTTAGACCGACTCCAATGGACCAGCCATGCATGAGGTTGCAGTACGAACCTTCATGTACCAGTTTTCCTGGTATGGACTTTTTTCCTTAGGAAAATAAACTAGACAAAAGAATGTTTGCATTTAGTTTCTTTTTTTAATGCCAAACTCCCTTGTAAAAGGAATCTCATATTATTACCTGTCACCCATTTGAGTTTAAATTGCATGGTATGATGAAGAAAATATTACTAAGTGGTACTTGTACACTGTGGCTTTCACACTCATGCTTGAGATGTATTATTAAATACGGACCAATGCAACTTATTTATTGCATCTTTTACTTGATTGGTTTATGCATTTACTGATGCTTTATTTTTTACTGTTTTTAATTTTTGGAGACAAAGTCTCACCATGTAGCCCAGGGAGAACTCAAACTCTCAATCCCCCTGCCTCAGCATCTCATGTTGGGATTATAGGCACGAGGCACCCTCCTGACCCGAACGTTTGACTCTCTGTTGGAGTCACCGTTTCCACCATTTCCTCAGTTCCTGTGTCTGCTCTGTGCTTACCTGTTTTTAAGGTGTGCCTCTAGGTCACAGCGCTGCATCACATCTTGGCACACAGAAGAAAACGGACACAGAACCAGTAATTTGTCTAGGAGTTTATGGACCAGGATGCTGGATTTCTTACACAGCTTGAAATGAAGTCTCTTGTGGTCCAGGGGACAGAAGTCTTTGTCTTGCAGGAAGTTTCTGAGGCACTTGTGGCAGAACGTGTGTCCGCAGGGCGTGTCGAGCGGCTGCAGCAGGGGCTGAAGGCAGATGTGGCAGACGAGGTCGTCGTCCACTTCGCCCTGGTAGTTGTACAGGTGGTTTTCTTTTGCCCAGTGCTGCTGGCCACACTCAAAGCACAGGGGGTCCAGGGAGGAGGCCGCGGAGGCCTGCTCCACGGGCGCCATCTCATCACTGGCTGTCCCCATTGTGAGTCGGCGGTGCTCGCAGGCTCATGGGTCCAACGTCGGGAGCGCGCGTGTGACTAAAGCCAAGCACAGACAAACAGAAACAGTGCTGATCAGGACAGAGGAAAGGACCGGCAAAACATCAGACGAGTTTTCCGTAAAAACAAGTTTACTGGCAACAAAACAGTAATAAATAATAAAGGAAATTAATTTGACAGCTGAGTGACAATGATTCACTCTGCCGAGGTGTGAACAAGGAGAGACCTTGTGAGCCAAAGCAAAGGCACCGTGTGTCACCCAGAGCAACTTAAGAACAGCCGACTTCCTCCACTGATGGAGCCCTCCCCCCACATCCCACTGTCCACTGGGGATCTCAAGGCTAATTAATCAATTACGCTGCCTTGTTCTACTGAGTGGACCCCTCCTCCCCCACTGTCCACTGGGGATCTCAAGGCTAATTAATCAATTACGCTGCCTTGCTCCCCACCGCCACTGTCCACTGGGAATCTCAAGGCTAATCAATCCCCCAGAGCACCAACAGTGTGGCTTTCTCTTCTCACTTACACCACCTTGGTCTGCTTGAACTGAGTCCTCTACAGCCTCTAATAAAGGCAGTGTTTCTTAAATGCAGTCAAGGATAATTCTGTTTGTCAGTTAAAAATAAATCTTTGTTCCACACTATAGGAAAAATACATTTCAAAACATGTATGATTTGAATAATCATAATAATGCCAAATAAAGGGAAAGTCACATCCCACAGCATATACAAATAACATCTGTGCAAACTCTCTAAACACTTCTTACACCCAAGGAAATAATGCTGCAATTCAATGAAACAGATGAAAGGTTATAAATTAGACCTGTCTTGTTAGTCTACACTTAGTTACACACTTGGTCATGTGTAACAGAGCAGCTAGCTGGGTGTGCATGCCTTCGCTCACACCAGACTCTTTCCACACCCCCATCTGGAGGTGAGGCTCGAATGTAGGTGAGGATGCTATCCTGCGGAAGGTCTTCGCCCTTCCTGCTAAGGCACTGAGGGTTAAGAATGCACCTGCAAAGGCGGCGGCAGCAGCAGCGGCTCCCTGTCTCCCTACTACAGACACTAGCAGAGCCTCCAAAGATGCTGAACAGTGAACGCAGGCAGGAGGGCCAGAGAGGACAGCTACGGAAACCCTTCCTTAAAACTGCACCTGATGAACACCCTAAGGCCTCAAGTCAAGCACCAGATATGACAAGACTGCAGGAGAGAAGGAGAAATTGGCATTTAATTCTGTTCGGCTTGGTGGCTGGGAATATTTCAAAAGGGTAAAACAAAACGAACTAACGAACCAATCCGACACTTCTGAGTTGTGACAGGAAGCATCAGTCAGAAGAGGGATGCCGGTGTGGGAAAAGGGCATCTCAGGAGAGAAGCACACCACAGAAGGCAGGGTGCCCAGAGGGCACACAGCACAGCCAGGCAACAGGAAGTGGGTAAGACATCTCAGCTAAGAACACGCTTGGGCAATCTAAACCTGAGAGCCTTCCCCAAGAACAGAAAGAACGGCACCACATGGGCTCTACAGTGTCTGCGCCAGTGTTTGCTACCTGAAAAGACATTTATTTACTGTGCACAGAAATTCGTGCGCGTGTGCACGTGTGTACAAATCCACAAAAGGGTACATGTAGAGATCAAAGAACAACTTGTGGGAGTCAATTTTCTTTTTTCTTTTTCAAGACAGGGTTTCTCTGTGTAGTTTTGGAGCCTGTCCTGGATCTCGCTCTGTAGATCAGGCTGGCCTCGAACTCACCCGGCGGGAGTCAGTGTTCTTTAACCATGTGGACCCTGGAGACTAAACTCAGGTTTCCAAGCTTGAGGCAGATGCTTTCACCTGCTGAGCCATCCTGCTAGCCCCATAACTGATATTTTATTATGTACAGTATTCATTTTGAAAACAACATAAAGGTGGGCAGAGTGGCACACACTCATAATCCTACCACCTGGGAGACTGAGGCAAGTTCAAAGCCAGCCTGGACTACACGGGAAGGCCATATGTCAAACACACCTACATTAACAAATAAAAACCAACACCAGCATTCTAAGAGATTTAACAAGAACGGCCGTGGGCTGGGAGCAGGATTCAGGCAGGGCAGTTTGACCTGACCTCAGATAAATCATCCTCTGAAAACTAGTAAATAATAGTTGTCTCGACCCTCGCTCCTTCTGTACTGACACCCAACAGCAAAGACTTCCCGTGGTGGCTGTGAGTCTTGTTCTTCATCCTGACGGGGCAGCTCTTCTCTCAGTGTAGGGAGCATGGGACCAAGGAAAGTCTTCCTGACTCAGAACCCCCCAGTCTCTTGGTTCCCAGCTAGTCTGCAGGAACACTCGCACAGCTTTGCTCTTAGATGTGACAGTGCTTATTCTAAGTCTCTCCTCCTCACGAAACTGTATGGTACTGCTAGCCTCCCACACAATGACTAAGAAAACCCTTACGACCATTGTGTTTTAGCTGTTCCCTAAGCCTCTAAATACCTCCAGTTCCTTATTTTCATTTTCTCACAGCATTTTTTCATGAGGAAAATTAACTTAGTAACAACTGCATTGTCTCCACCCACCAAACGGGACTTTGCTGCCACGCTCACTCCAAACTGAACTTGGCACAAGCGGTCGGGAGCACAGAGCGGGCCTGGGGGGCGGGGTCAGGTCCCTGCTGGCCACTGACCAGACTCAGGACCTCACTCACTTCTCTGCCTGCCAGGTGCTGCTGGCAATGGCCGTCTGAAGAGCAGTGAGCACTGTAGGCCCTCCCGAGGCATCAGCTAGGAAGAACAAAGCTGCAGACCCAGCCTGTCGTTTGCTCTAACAACTTATACTAACAATTCACAATTACTAGGAAAAGAAAAGCCAAGTTCTTCCTCACTTCCAAAGGGTGGATGGTGAACCACGAGATTTCAGCAAGAGAAGCACTTCATGCGGTGAGTTCTGAGCAAAGGAAAGCGGCCTGGCCCCTCTTCCCAAATCCTACTGCTTCCAGTCTGCCAGCCTAGCAGGTGCCTGGCCTCCCCTTTGTGAGTGCACTAGGAGCCTTATCACCTTCTCAGGGCTCAGGCCACCTGTCTGCACGTCCCTTAAGGGCCCCTGCGCTGGGAGCCTGGTCCCAGCGTCATGGTGTGGGGAGTGCCTGGTGAATGCGGTCAGATCACTGAGGACACACCCCGGGAAGAGTTGGATACCACCCTCACAAGACCCTGGCTAGTTCCCACAGAAGTGAGTGGGTCCACGGACAAGCCTGTCTGGAAGTTCTCTGGTTTCCACCTCATCATGTCACCGACTTCCTGTCCTTTCTCTACTGTTCTGTAACCGGGGCCACACAGATAGGGCTATTTCTCTTGAACCTTTTCTGCCTTTATAAAGCAGTCAGTTTCAAGGATTTTGTTACAATCACAGAAAGCAGACTTAAGGGTTTTTTTTTTGTCTTACCTGCTAGGTCTACCACAGAGGAAACAGCCCAGTGCAGGCTGAAGAAGGGCTGGAGACAGGGCAATGGTTAAGAGTCTTCCTGCTCGGGCACAGTCCTGGCTCCGTCCCCACCACCCACCCACCCAGTGGCTCTGAGGCCCTCTTCTGGCCTCCGCAGAAACTGCACACACACAGGCAAACATCTGTAGGCCCTGTGACTACCAAGGCCCAGCACCTACGAAAACCCTCTCCTCTCCCCCGCCTGGCAGATCCTTTCTCAGCAGCCCCCTCTGTGAGCCTCCTCTGGGAATCCCGCCAGCTCTTGGTGGACCCTCTCCCCGCCAGCTCTTGGTGGACCCTCTCCCCGCCAGCTCTTGGTGGACCCTCTCCCCGCCAGCTCTTGGTGGACCCTCTCCCCGCCAGCTCTTGCAGCCTCCTCACACACCTTCATCTTAACTTCTATATGGTGTGTTCACTTGTGTGTCTCACCTCTTTCTGGAGGGAAAGGCAGTGTCGTTTTTTTTAACTTTTTGGGTAATTTTTACTAAATTGGTGGACGGTTTCAGACATTCTGATTTCTCTCTCCCACCCTTTTTATCTCCCTCCCACTCTGTAATCCCCACCCCTCCCTACCAGTCCCCTTCCCACATCCCTGTTTTCGCCTCATTTTGTGACCCACTGAGTTTACCCAGGGTCATCTGTGTTTAGAACTGTCCACTGGCGCCTGGGTGGCTCACCAGTGACACACAGTTAAAGGCATCAGCTACACCTCCCCGGAATCCCTCAGGAGCCAACAGCTCTGCAGGGAGGGGTGGGCCCGTGAGCCCCCCCCTCCCCCTGCAGTCCAGGGCTGACTGCTGGCAGGCCCCATCCGCTGCAGGCCCACTGCAGGCAGCCACAGCGCCCGGAAATCCTGACTGCACGGAGGTGTGATGCAGAGAGAGCATTTCACAGCCGCCTTCTCCCTGTCTCCTGGCTCTTACAGGCTTTCCCCTTCCCCTTCCGCGATGTCCCCGGAGCCTTTAAGAAGGAAGGAACGTCCTGTTTAGGAATGAGCACTCAACTGTCCCTCTGGGCACCTTGAGCAGACCTGTGTGTGCATTCACTGGCTTTCACTGCCAAGCGAAGCCTCTCGGACTCAAGGTGGGAGTGGCTTGTAAATAAACATTTAGAAGGCAGCCTGGTGCCATATCAGCTTTGCTAAACACCAGCCATTAAGTTCCCATTTCCACTTCTTGGCACATACTGTGCACTAAGAGAAAACTTATGTGAGCCTCAAGTGTGTGACTATAGGGGAGGAAACTGTGGTTCCACAGAGCAATGAACATGCTCGAGCTGACCCTGCAATCCACAAACAAAGAACAAATAATAATGCTGCTCCTGTATGGCAAAGGCTAGGAAAAATGTTCCCCACGAGGCCAACGCTGAGCTCTCCTTACAGTTCACACTGCAGGTCAGCTTTGACAGCTGCCTTTCATGAAGCGGCGATTGTGAAACTGTCTGACCTCAAAATCCCCTTAGCCACTCTGCAAGTTCAGCAGCGTAAGAACACAAAACCAAACATCACAACTGCCACGGGCCGCAGCCCACACCCCTGTGCATCGCCGCAGAGAAGCCCCAACACTCGCTTCC